ATATAGGTATATATAGGTTATAACCTATATAGGTTATCTATATTATTTCTATGGTTGTTAGAGGGCACCTACTTACAAAGGACACTTTTGGGGGTATCTTTTGAGTGACCCCCTAGATGCAGGTTTCGTTTGCATACTTATAAATATGACTAAACAATTAAATGGAAAAACTATTCCTATATTAATATATATATATATAAAGCACAACGATACAAATATTTACTGCGTCTGTTAAATGAGAGTAAGATATTTCTATTGTGCTTACAGTGATTCATAGATCTGCGGGTTTATGCGAAGAATTAGATGGCTAAGGAATCAACGTATAACAGTTAACAGCGACCTTTGAAATGTACTAATCTTGATTAATAATAATAATATTGCGAAAGAACAGAACAATTACTAGTTTTTGTTTTATTTGCTGATACGGGTTTACTGGACGAGCAAACATTGTAGTAACAAAGCTAAACCGAACAAACCTAACAAACATAAACCGAACAAACCGACAAACCTAACAAAGAAACAAAGACGAACGGAGCTATGGCACGCTAGAGAAGCATTCACGCGCGTGCGCGTGTGCATGTGCATGTGCGTGTGCGTGTGTATAAGGTATAACTTTACACATCCCTTCGTAAATAATAGTGATTACGCACAGAAAAAGACTAGAAGGGACGCGGCTGGCTGAAAGTTATTTAGTTCACATTAATCGCGTCACGCATCGAATAAAGTAAATCAAGATTAAGGCTAGTGAGCGTGGAATTCTCTGCGGTTCGCCATGATATCCCCTATTATTTGCTCCGGATACCTACTACAAATACACATCGCGTTTTCCTAAACAGTGTGTCACCTATAGCCTGATAACAGGCGGCGAGATGGTTGCAGCAGGTGGTCTTGCCTCCGCGCGGCTTCGAATTCTGTGCTAATATAAACAACCAAGGATGTCGTGATAATATTCACGAGTCACCCAGCGCGCCCTACCTGTTTCTTATCTTCTTCTACACTATCTCATGTGGAGACATTGTGTCTTATATTGAATCTCATTGCTACGTTACAATTTTTCTACATGGCGAAACACAATCGCCACAACGTCGGCGCTTCGTGACGTGAGCGTATTTATACACGCGATAAACTCGGGGTCGCCATGTTTGCATATTGCTAAACTTTGCCAAAGTTCGAACGCGTCGTTGTAGAGAGCTATGAACTAAAAGTTAAATAACCGTGTGGGCAATGCGTAAAGGGGGTGATACGTTATATAACGTTATGGCTACGATGGTGATAGTCAATTTTTCCAATCGTGTTCAATAAAAAGGGCACGTCTCGTCCCTATGCGTGATTCGAGTCGATTAATTGCCTCCTTCGCGCCGCTTACCTGGAGATAAAATTATCAAAGATAACCATTGTGGGGCGACAGGTGTGCGCTATTCTCGTGTGAAACCACAATGTGCGGAATATGATCGTGCGACTTCTCGCGATAATGAACGGAGATGGACGTCGGGACCTGCGGGTATAAATATCAGGGGCAGCTGCTCGTCTGGCACCATTAGTCGAGAGGAGAAGAACCTATTGAGTGACGTCATGTTTCAAGCCGTAATTGTGGGCGTGCTGCTCGCACTGGTGACAGCGGATCCGATTAACGATGGAGTCGCAGACTACACCGGGTATGACCGTAATCGCTACTTGTAGTGATTCACGCGGAAGAAGGTGTATTATTTGCGCGCCAAAGTATTATTTGCCCTCGTTTTGTGCATGGTACAATTTTGTTGTCGGTTAGTAGTTTGTTTTAGCTAGTATACAATACGCGTGCAGCTAGAATACAATACGCGTGACGCTAGTATACTATACGTGTGCAGCTAGTAATGGATAACCTCGTCTGGTACTTCGTTCCCGTTATGAATCCAGATGGATACGTTTACACGCACAAAAATGTGAGGCAGAAGCGGAGAAGAGCAGAGAAACTATTCGCAGTGGCTGCGCGTCCGGTCATCCATTACAAAGCTGAGCACAGATTCCCAAATCCACGTCACGATTAGGCCACGCCCCCTATCAAATCGTTGATTTTACTGGATTTACTATTGCTTCACAAATTACAAAAACACATTTTTTTGATAAAATACCTAAAGGTAAGTAATATTATGGTAAAAACTGTACGTTTATTGTTTTTTTACTGAAAAAATATAGTTGGGTTCACATAAGAAATATATGACCGGACGCGTAGCCAGGGAGCTTGGCGTCCGGCAACCAGACGCGTAACAACGGCCTAAACTATTTACTATACACTACATTATACAGCAATGCTATACACAACCATACTATATAGACCTGTGTGAAGAAGAGGCATTGACAGCCTCTACGGGGCACAGCTCAACTGAGTTACCCCACGTGGATTTAGCTTGCTGTTTTAGTGTTGCCATTGTATATGTATATGAAAAACGTTTTTTTTAAATTGCTACACAAAGTTAGCAATGAACGACTAGTTTCGACTTGTGGTAGTCTTCGTCAGGTTCTTCTAACCTTTTACAGCTGAAAAAAAACTGTGCTTTTCAGCGTGTTTTCTCCTCCTTATATACCCTAGGTCCCTGTCCGCGAAGGGGCGCCAAAAGGGGGCGCCGAAGGGGGCGCCAGCGGGGTGCGCCGTTCACAGAAAGGAGGCGCCACAGGGTTTGGGGCGCTAAAGAGGGGCGCAGGAAGCGCCAAAGAGGGGCGCCGTTCACTAAGGGGGGCGCATCAGAGCGATCAGTACTTGCTCCTGATTGACTAAACCGTCTGCCGTTTGCGTCATGGTATTCATGACCACTAAACTATAACAAATAAAAGGATTATCCTTATTCACAATCAATATACTATAACAAATTTTTATAGTTCAGTGTTCATGACGCGTGTAGAGGTTCATACAGAGTCGATGAGGTCTGTATACGTGCTGTACACATGTATTGGTGTGTTCATGACGTCATAGTCTTTTTGTTGAGTGATAGCGTGAGCTGACGTCAAGGGTACAGAGAATTGCATTTGGGGGTAGCGGTGTGAAGTTACTGATGAAGGAGAGAAACAAGCGTGTTCTCGCTGCTCACGCCAAGGAATACCCGAACGCCTAACTTCTATATCCTGCCCAAGGTTTACAAGCAAGGCAACCCGGGCAGATCAATCCTATCCGCAAACAATAGCCTCACAGAAATTATCTTCTCGTTCGTGGACCACCACATTAACACATTGGTGCGTGACATACCCTCTTACATACGGGACACGGTAGATTTCCTCTCCTTCATCAGTAACTTTACACCGCTACCCCCGGATGCGCTTTTCTGTACCTTTGACGTCAGCTCATTCTACAGTAACATCCCCCATAACAAAGAAATGCAAGCTCTGCGCAAAGCCATGGACACACGACGGGCACCGCAGACACCCTCCACACACTTCCTAGCAAGCCTAGCAGAATTGACTCTGACCAAAAATAACTTCCAGTTTAACAACCACCACTACTTACAAAGACAAGGCACAGCAACGGGCTCTAAGATGGCACCGTCTTATGCCAACCTCTTCATGGACGATCTAGAACGCACGTTTCTAGCCTCCACAATACACCAACAGCTTGTCTGGAAGAGATATATTGACGATATCTTCGTTATCTGGACTTATGGCACCGCCGCCTGGGAATCATTCGTCACAGAACTAAATGACTTCCATCCCACTATTAAATTCACTGAATCTCACAGCGCGATCTGTCTCCCCTTCCTATACGTACAGGCGTATATGCACACAGACGTATATTGTAAACCCACAGACTGTCACCCGTACTTCAGGACAGATTCAGCCCACCCCAAGGCTCTCATAGACAACATTCCCTACGGACAATTTCTCCGCCTAAGAAGGATATGCTCCAACAACAAGCGCTTCCACACGCGCTGCCAGGAGTTCAGACAACTCTTTCTGAAACGGGGATACAAGGCAAACCTGCTAGACAAGTCCATACAAAAAGCGGCCCAATGCCCACGGGACTCACTGATAGACCT